TTGTGTATTTATGGCTTTTATAAAATTACAATTCAGGTGTGTGGATTTAGTTTTGGGTCCTTGATTTATACCAATACCATTTGGTTTTTATTACTATAGCTCTGTATTACAGCTTGAAATCAAGGCTGGTGATACCTTTGGAAGTGGTGGAGCAAGGGACAGAGTTCATGCCTCATTTCTTTTTCGTAACCTACTACATAGCCTGGAACATGTACCATAATGTTGAACTGGAATGGTGAGAGTTGATATCACATTCTATCTTTGTGGCAGTTTAAAACAAGTCCACAAATTTTTAAAATTTGAAATTTAAAATTTTCTTTAAAGAATGGTTTCAAAAGTTCTCTTCCTTTGTGTTAGGAATTTTCCTAAAGCGAGTTCTCTGACAACACAGAAATCCCAATTAAGCCAAATCACAACAAGCCAAATTAAAAAATATTCAGGTTTAATGGGATTCTTGTGCTCTCCAATAGCCCCAAGGGGAAACCGGGAAGCCACAATTGTGACCACCACCAGGTGATGGGGGAGCCATGTGGGAACTTTCCGGGGAGGGGGGGAGCAATTTAAATAGACTCGGGGAGTGATCAAGATTTTGGCGGGCTGTCTTGACAGTCCCCCCGGGAGGGATCAAGGCTTGGCGGGCACAGGGATGGGACCTCCAAAGATGGAAGCCAGAAACTTGGGACTTACACTTTGCTACAAGTTGCAACATTATTCAGTAATTAAACCAGCCTCATTTCACAAGGTCAACCCATCAGAGTCAAGGGCTTTGTTGGAGAATTAGGCCAGGATGTAAGTCATGTTGGAATTATTGCCTTGTGAATATAGTGAATATAGTAGCTGGTTTTTTTTTTTTTCTAAATTTTTTTTCTTTGCCATAGCTTATCCCCTTATGTTACAAATTTGGGAATTAATTCCCACAGTTCAGCATGTTTGATCATTTACTGAGTACTATCTTCCCTATGCTTTCAGGGTTTACTGATTACATTCCCTAGCTATGTGTAGAAAGTTTCCCACTACTGTGTCTTTGTTCCTCTCTCCTATGTAAATGTAGAGATCTTCCTTCCTGCAATTGTTATTATTGGCAGGCATTTTAGGGTCCAGGCAAAAGTATTCCATTTGAGACATTCCCAGATATCTAAGGACATAGAATTAATCCATGCCCAAACCTGTTAGTTTATATTTTCTTTTTTTTAATTAATTAATTTATTTGTTTATAAAAATTTCCACTTCCTCCTCTCCTCCCCATACCCTCCCATTCCCCCCACTCCCTCTCCTCCTCCCTCCCACTCCCTCTCCTCCTCCCTCTCCAGTCCTAAGAGCAGTCAGGGTTTCCTGCCCTGTGGGAAGTTCAAGTTCCGCCCCTCTCCCTCCAGGTCTAGGAAGGTGAGCATCCAAACAGACTAGGATCCCAGAAAGCCAGTACATGCAGACAAAACAAGACCCAGTGCCATTGTCAATGGCTTCTCAGTCAGCCCCCATGTCAGTCATATTTAGAGACTCCGGTTTGATCACATGCTCGTTCAGTCCCAGTCCAGCTGGCCTTGGTGAGCTCTCATTCGATCAGTCCCCTTGTATCAGTGGGTGAACGCATCCCACACGGTCCTGATTTCCTTTTTCATGTTCTCTCTCTTTCTAGTTTATATTTTCTTACATAGATAGAAAAAATAAGCATGTCCTGGTTTTACCTCACTTATAGATAAGGAGAGGGATGACCTAAAACCAACCTTGCATTGAAAGACTCCTAACTCCTCACATCATCTTCACCTCAGTTTACCGATGATTTTAGTTCAGGAGATTTACTGCTTATGTCTTCCTCTCAGGAACAATGATTAACCATCTACCCACATACTGGAGGAAGACAAGACTCTGCTGGAGCTGGAGCCTCTGATAGGCATCAAGCCCCACAGACCTGATTATTTAGAGGTTTGAGTCTCTTTTTCGTTTCAACCGCTTAGAGCAAAGATGTAAACTTCAGATCCAAAAGGCCTTTAGAGCTTGCTAACATCTGACAAAAATGCTAATGTTCCAAGGGCCATACACTTCCCTTGTCTATTTACATAGATTGCTTGGTTACCTATGCCTGCAAGATATTGTGGGTCTTCATGGCTGGGTAAGAACAAAGAGAGGAAGAAACGGGAACAGAAGTTGGAGCAGAAGCGTCCCAGAAATGAGCAGAGACAGGAAAATGAAGAAGAAAAAGAATGCAACAGAATTATTCCAATTAGAATAATTAGACTTGAGGCAGAGAATTAGAGCTAAAAAAAATTATAGACAGTTCGGATAGAAGAATTAGAATAGAGAACAAGGAAGAAAGAACAATAAAGAGACATGGATAGAAAGACTATGTTGTGAATAGATTTCTTAACCATCAGATTTTAGTTTATTTTGCTATTGTGGCATCTTTCTTTTGAAACCCAAGAGGAAACCTTAGAGGTTAGACCTCAAAAGTTTCTGATAAATGTCAGTGTGAATTCTATTTAGTAATTTGCTTCTAACAGATACAATGTGGTAGAGAAAGTGAAGTGTGATATCCAGGTAGAAGCTGTAAGGGATTGCGGTGTCTTTATTCCTATCTTACTTTGGTTACTGGCTTGACTTGTGAGAATACACAAGCATCCTATCAGAGAGCTACAAAGCGAGGAGCTGAGGTCCCTCATGGTGTGTACAATGAAGCTGCAAACAGATCCTCTAGAGTCATGTCCAGATGAGTGCAGCCTCATGACAGGCCCAGAGCAAGGGTCACCCAGGCAGACCTTCCCCCAATTCCTGGCCCACACAGAATGTAAAAAAACAAAACAAAACAAAACAAAAAACACAAGTTGTTTTCAGACCCTACTGGCTGGAGAAATTGGTCATGCAGCAATAAGCAACGCTGTCTGTCACGATGCTAATTATAAATTTCCTTCTAAGGATGCCTCATATGGTTTCTGGAAATACTTCCATAGTTTTGGCGTTCACATTTAGGTCTCTGATGCACTTCTGGTTGGTTTTGTCCTTGGTGAGAGGTATGGCTACAAACTCATCCGTTTTGCTTGTGCCTATCCATTTACCTCAGCACCACCTATTGAACAGATGGTTCTTTCCTAGATTAAATTGTTCTGGGAACTTCACTGAAAAACCAATAGACCACAGTTGTTCAAATTTACAGTTTTGTCCTACTGTTAAAAGTTTTGTTGCTTATCAATAATGAGCATTTTTAATTATTGTAACGTTGTGGTAAGCTTTCAAATAGGGAAGTATAAATTCTCCAACTTTCTTCTTAAGTTTTTCTTAACTATTCAGAATTCTGTTGTCAGACTAATTATAGAGTCACTTTGCCTATTTCTGCAAAAGAAGCAGTTAGAATTTTGATAGGGATTATGTTGTATCTGTCTATCTGTCTCCAATTTGTGAGCACAGGATTTTTTTTTTTTTTGATGGTTTGGTTTGGATTTACTTTACCCCCCTTGTGTTGGGTGTGCTTTTGTTATCTGAGAAAAGGAACCTCCATCAGTTTGCCTGTAAGCAAATCTGTTGGGCATTTTCTTGGTTAGTTATTGTTGTGGGAGGGCCCAGTTCACTGCAGGTGGTGCCACGCCTGGGTAGGTGGTCCTGGGCTGTATAAGGTTGAGCAAGCACGGGGGAGGGAGGATGGTGGGAGATGGGAGGGATCAGTAAGTCTCTGCTTCAGTTTGGGCTTCCAGGTTCCTGCCTTGAATTCCTGCCCTGGCTTCCTTCACGATGGACTATGATTGGAACATGTAAACAAAAATAAACCCTTTCCTTCCCAAATTGGTCAGTATTTTATGCAAGCAATAAGAAAATAACCAAGACACCCCCAAAGGCCGTGGTTTGAAAATCTGTTCCTCAGGGTGGTGGTATCACTGGAACCTTTAAGAAATGAGGTTCTTGAGTCATTAAGGCACCTGATTAGTTGCAATAAATGTCTACTTGTAGAGGTCTGATTAGTTTGTGCAAGAGCAAATTGCTTTAAAAATCTGAGCAGAGTTTCTCTTTGGCCTCCTAAATAGAATGTGATTTCTTGCTTTTGTTCTCCTGCTGTCGGTACCCACCATGATGCAGCTGAGGTGGCTTTAATGAGAACGGAGAGGTGCAGATGCTATACCCTTGACCCTTCAAAAGCTTGTTAAATGGATCTCTTCGGCCTGTTCGTCTCCTTCAGGTGCTTCAGTCTCACATGTAAGGATGTTCAGTGCTGTTATTTTTTTCAGTTCTTTCATTAATGTTTTGTACTTTTTAGCCTTGAAGTCTTGCATTTCTTGTTAGATTTGTCCCTAAGTATTTTTATTTATTTTTAGTTTACTAAATTCAGTTGCTTCCTCAATTTCATTTCTGGCTGCTTATTGCTTGTTTCTAGAAATACAACTCATCTTGTATAATGATCTTGTTTTCTGCAGCCTTGTTAAATCTGTTCATTTGCTCAGATGCATGTGTGTTCCTTAAGATTTTCTGTATTTAAGATAAAGCTATCTATTAGGAATATTTCTTAGGAGGACCCTCTTCGCTGACACAAATCATTCCAATCAGACCAAATCAGATTGAATAAAAGACGGTCATGTTTAATGCAGCGCTCCCCGGTGGCCCGGGAAAGCACAGCAAGGGGAGAGAGAGAAGGGGAGACCACGCAAAACCCGGAGATCATGTGTTCCTTTTCTGAGCAACAGCCTAACTAGCCTGTGGGAGTGGTCCTGACTCTCCCTCGGGAGGGGTCAGAGCTTTATGGACCTTCCCAGAGGTGGAGTCCAGATCAAGGCAACTTCCAGGGGAGGGGGCTTGAATTGAAGCTTCCTGCTCCATCGGCACTCCAAAGATGGGTGCCAGGGATGGGGTGATGCTTTTTCCCAAACATCCCAGACGTCTTGGATATAGGGGCATCGGCTCAATTGTGGCTACTTCCTGCAGGCATGGGGTGATGTGGGAGAGGGGAGAACTGGGAGTTGGTGGGCTCAGCGAGAGGTGTGGCTGGAGCGATATTCGGTTTACTGTCATCCTGGAGTTGTCAGACCGCTGTTTCTTGAGGGAGATGAGAAGGCAAGTGACTAGGAGAAAAAAAAATATTGTTATTATTGGCCTTATGAATGGGGCTAGCCATGGGAAGTCAATAACTGCCAGAAAGAATGGGACAGAGAAGTCCTGGTTGTATAGGTGAGGCTCAGGTGTATAATTGGGAACAATAGCAGATAAAACCAGATTTTAGTTGGTGGGTGTCCTTGATCCAAGAGAGTTGGTACCAATGGTGAAGTCTCAGGAGCTGGTGCAGGTGTTGGTGCTGTCTGGAGAGCACTTTGTAAGTTGGTCTTGGCCCAAACAACAGGAGTGACCTGCAAAATATGCTTGAAACAGGGTGGGGTTAAAATGGGCTCTGGAGACTTAGGTTTTTTTTTTTTTAGACCTGATTTTGATTCAGCAGCAGAACTTTTTCCAGGAACCTGTAAGTATCTGTAAGACAGCTGGAACAGATTTACATCTTGGTGCAATAAAGGCTATTGCTTTAGATGAAAAGGTATGACCATTTTAAAAGACAATTAAAGGGAATTGGGAACTGTGGATTTGTAAGATACAGCAGAATCCTGTTAATCCTGAACTCTGAAGCCTGAGAAAGAGCACACAGGCAATCCCCAGTCTCCCCTTAGTCCTTGGAGAACATCAGCCTAGAAGCAGTGCTTGCTGTTAGCTGCTGAGTACAAGAGGCCTGAAGATTTTCCTGTGGAGGGGAGATTTAGTCTACCTTTCTTGGCAGGATGAGAAGACCCATTCCCTGGCCTTTTCTAATTTGGTAGCATTCTTCATGTGATGTATTTTTTTTTATTTTTGTACTGTTTCTTCTTTAATTAAGTAATTTGCATATATTTTTTCTCAGTCAGTCTAGGTAAATTGTTTTTATTCATCTTTCAAATAATCAAGTTTTGGCTTCACTAATTTTTCTATTTTTCCTGTTTCTCCATTTTATTGCTTTCCATTCAAGTGTGTTTTCTTTCTTCTTGCTTTTTTTTTGAGTTTAGCTCTCCTTTCCCCTGTTTCTTAGTGGAAGATTTGTTATTGGTTTGAGTATTTCTTCTTGCCCAGGCTGGAATCGTCAACATTGTTTTCCTCTGAGCACTGCTCCTATCACAGCCCGCAGCCTTGCTGATCCGCAGTCAGCACTGCTCTGTCAGGAGCTCAGAGGTTCTCATCAAATAACAAAGCCAGGGAAAAGGAGATTTAAAGCTGGGCAAACACTTCTATAACTATGTGCACAGGCTCTCTAAAGAATATGTAAGTAAAATATTGGAATTATTAAGAGTATTTTAAAAAATGACTGGCTCTGGGATCAATGAACTCATATTGACCGGTGTGTGTCAATGTATTTGAAAATATAGTATTGAATTGAATCACATAGACTGCATATAAACATAAAATGTAGTGAGTCTAAGAGTAAATCAGACAAGACATGTGTATTATCTGTGTTGATAAGATTATTATATTGTTGTAGGATATTTGATCACACTATAAATCTAGAGATGGCATTATTTATTGGGAAAAACTGTTTCTAGCGTGGTGTGGCTCAACCCTAGCACACACCTTTAATCCTAGAGCTTTCTGCTTGAATATTTTAAACAGGATAATAAAGTCGACCATAGGTCAGGAGGTGGATCAAGTAACCAATTGACAGGAAGCGAATTTACAAGAAAAGAAAACATAGATAGTAAGAGGGAGTCAGGAGGACACATAGTCTCACAGGAAGTAAAAGGGAGGGACATTAAGTTGAGGAGATTTATTTGAGACAGCGAAGGAGGAAGGTCAGCTGGGTGCTTTCTCTGCCTCTCTGAAACAGTAGGCTTTGACCCCAGCATCTGACTTCTGATTGTTTATTGGTGAAATCAAATGATTGAATTTTAAAAACAACATTATATTTTACTAAGAGGCATTAAAAATAGCTAAATTGTCAGGTGTGGTGGTACATGGTTTTAATCCCAGCACTCAGGAGGCAGAGGTGGGTAGATCTCTGTGATTTCAAGGCCTACTTGGTCTATATAATGAGTACCAGGACAGACAGGTATGCATAGTGAGACCTTGTTTCAACAACAACTAAACAAGGCTTTTATATATATATATGGATGGAAAGCTTCGGTAGTTTAAAAATATTGAATATCCAGCAACTAAATTCAATAATATTTCAGTAACATTTTTCTTAGAATTAGGGAAGTTGCTTTAAAAATTTGTAGAAGAGGTGTGTATACTACTGTCACCTTGTAAACACTCATGCTATCTACTCAAGATGCAGAGCCCTAGGGGAGAGTGAAGGCCACACCCGTGTTCATCTCCAGTGTGCTGAGTTAGTGAGGATAGCATCTTCTTCCAGCTTTCACCGCAAGCAGCAGGCTTTCCCTTCTAGGAGGGCTGTACACAACAGGGGCTTTCCAAATTCCTATTAGGATGCTAATGCAAAAAATGTTTAATGTTCAGCATATCGGCCTCATCCTCAACAGGAGGATAGCTCTAGAGTCATATGAACTTGAGGGACTGGCAAGGGCTGAAGTGACCCATGGCTCTGAAAGACCCATGCTGAATACTTGGATGTGAGCATTACTAGAGTTTGAATAGGAGCCACTGAGATCAGAATAAACACAAACAGATCTAATGAATGTTCTCACTAAGAACGAGAGCAGAGGATAAGGTGAACATTTGGAATATATGCTTATTATTTTTTAATTGTAAAACTAATACATCAAAACACAAAATTGTACAGATCAGTGGAATACCATGTGATGTTTTAATACACCAATATATTGTATAATGTTTCAATTTGGTTAAACATACCTGTATCCTCAAGCACTGACCACTTCTTTACAATGAAAATATCTGAAACCCTTTTGCTTGAAATATTAGAAAATTAGAAATATTGAAAAATTAGAGCATTTAAGAGGCTAGAAAAAGAAAAAAGCGCTCTTCTCCAGATTCTTATCGTTTAAGTCACATCCGGGACTTGGATCACCCAGTTCTTCATGGGCTAGCTCAGCCTTCCTTTGTGTCACATGCAGGCTTTCTTATCAGGCTGGCTACTCCTTCCAGGCAGAAGCTGTTGATTTTGCCTTCCTGTCCTCCCATGCTCCACGCTGTCTGGAGGAGGAGCTATGTTCTATGTGAGCTGGGTATAGAAACTGGCAGGGATTTGCAGGAACGTGCTTCATGCCTTCCCAGGAGCCTGACTTTGCTCAGAGCATGGCCCTATTGCTGTGGGCCATCTCCAAACCAATCTGTGGTCACCTTCCTGGTTCCAACTCCCTAAGTCTTTGTCACCCAAGTTACAGTTAAGAAAGGGTGCAAACCTCAGTTCAAGGCAAATGTGTGAACTTTTTGTTCTTCAGATATTGGAGCTCTGAACCAAGTAATTAAGTTTTTTTCAGAGACTCAGGAAAACGTATTTTTCAAGCATGTTTTATTGACTTCAAAAAATAAGAATGGTAAAACAGTTATATTAATGTTTACACATTCAAGGATTTACTTCAATCCAAATATTATGCCATTGTAGAGAAATTGTATTTAATGTGAGATATATGTGGATTTTTAAAAGACACAAGGAGAGGACTTTTAAAAAATGAAAGTTTTGGGGGTTGGTGGCCTCTTAAAATAGTCTTCCTCCTCAATTACAGCCTATTTTCCACCAGGGGGCACACTGAGCATCGCTTCCTTCTGCTTTACCAGAATTTTCTCTTCCCTGGAGGGTGGAAGACAAGTCTCCAAATTTCATCTTCCAATCTTCCTAACTCCGGAAGTTTGAAGTACCTGTGCTCCCCCCAGAGGCTGTTATCTTCTAAACGTGCTCAGGATGCTGATGGCAGGTGGAACTCTTCAGAGGAAAGGGGCGCTGTGCGGTTACTCTTCTCTGGGAGGGTTTGCCTGAGAAGCCAGGGATTCGTTGAAGCAGAGGGCAGCAGTGGTGAGACCTCACCACTAGATTTCAGTCTTGATTTCTCTGAAAAGACAAAGTCTGGGGCAGAGGTGAGGGATGCGGGGGGGGGGGGAGGATGTATCAGTGAAATGGGTGAGGTCCCTACATTTTGACAGGACTGCTTGTCCTCTCGAGTGTCTCTCATGAAGGCTTATTATGTCAGGATACTATTTGAATTCAGAAGTCTTGGTGACCTCCTGGTTGGAGCTGGCCAGTAATTGTTTGTGAAAGAATCTGGATTCAGCATTGAAGTGCCATTGCGGTTTGCTTTTCAGTAAAAAGAGATTCGGTTTTCTAATGCTAAAGCAATACACATTTGATATACAAAATTGAAAAATTAGAGGGAAAAAGAAAGCTTCCATTAAAAGTTTTGTGTAACTGCTGGGGAAGGTGCAACTTGGTGCAACCACTGCAGAAGAGTGCAGAGGTTCCTTGGAAAGAGAAGCATGAGATGTCCTAGTAACCCAAATGCTGGGTGCATACCCAGAGGAAGTGAAGTCAGTATGTTGGAAAGATTTGTTCCTCTGCTACTACAGCACTTCTCCTCCAGAAAAGCTCCGGAACCAGCCTGAGCGTCCGTCAGCATGAGAAGACAGAGAGGTACACATGCACAAGGGAATACTATTTAGTTACAAAAGTAGGAAATCTTGTTATTTGTGACAACATCGATGAATCTAGAGATCACAATATGAAATGAGAATAGACATATTTAGAAAGACGGGTATCATAAGCCTCCAGTCCTGCGGAGTCTGCAAAGAGCTGATCTCATGAGGTTAGGAGCAGGGCACTGGCTACCATAGAGGGGGACAGAGAGAAGCTGGACGAGGATGTAAGTTACAGTCACATGGAGGGGTGAATTCTACTGCTGTGACATCGTGGGCATAGTTGGCAGCAGTACTTTGTGTGTGTGGATGCCATACCATAAAGAAATAAACACTTCAAGTGCTGGACATACTAGTTACCATGATTTGACATTACACATGTGTAAATGTATCAGAATATCAGATTGTTTTGCTAAACAACATGAACTTATACAATTACTGTTTGTTAATTATAAATAAAATAATGAAAAAAAAACTAAAGAATCATCCTTGCAGCATTTAAGGGTGTGAAAGAAGTTCTTTTTAAATATCTTATGTACATATTTATAAAATGGATCATATCAAAGTTGCTTCTTTGAAATCTGCCTGTGATGGTTGGGGCTAACTGTCAACTTGACAGACTCTAGAGTCACCTGGGAAATAGGACTCTGGAAATGCCTTTGGAGATCATCTCAATGGCATTCACAGATGTGGGAAAGATCTGCTCTCTGTGGGTGGTGCCATTCCCTGCCTCAGATCCTGGACTGTGTGTGGAGAAAATAGAGAGAACAGCAGAGGCTTGAACCATGGCTGTGTCCTCACTGTGGACGGGAAGTAACCAGCTGCTGCAGCCTTCTGCTGTCTCCATTTCCCCATAGGAATTCTCATGCCCTTAAACCGCAAGCCAGAATCAACCCTTTCTCCCTTGGTTGAGTTTGTTGAAGTAGTCTGTTTAGCAGTAGGAAAGAACCTAGGACACTCCCCTCCCCAGGGTACATTTTTTTCTGTTCTGTTGTATTCTTCTACTGTTCCATTTTTTAAAATTTCTATTTCACATTTTATTAAATAAATGTGCCAGCATTTAGTTAATCAATCCCTTATACATATGGAAATTGTTTCCAGACATTCATAAAAAATACTGTAATAATCTTTTGTGGAGCAAAATTCTTCCAAAATATTCATTTTTATTCCTTTAGGAAATGCAATTGGACACAATCTAAGACCCTCTTAATTAATTCATATCTAACTGATACCAGGTTTTACCTTTTCTGGTAGTGGAATTTTGTAGTCAAATGGTTGATAGGTAAGGCGCCATTTTACATTCCTACCTGTGTAGTAAAGTTGTTCCGGCATGCCCCAGTCTCACCACTTGGATACGTGCTTACATTCTGGAAGAATTTCTGAATGCCCAGATTTAGAAGGAGATAGAGCAACACAGGTAACAGACGCCAGCAACAGGTCCTCAGACCACACGTAGGCAGGAGGGACTCAGAGCAAAGGCAGCTCAACAGGTGGTACTTTCTCCCAGTCACATCTACTTAGGGTAGCGCGGGGTCTCACCGGTCTCGGGCTGTGTCCACCTTCAGAATGTGCTGGAGAAGATTTTAGCATATGGACCAAGCGCCTTCAAGCTGGAAGATAAGCACATAGCCATATTGATTATCTCATTTTAAAATTCCAGAGCCCAAGAGCCTTAATTAGGCCTTTAGTGCTGCTTGGGAATCACATTGTCGTGTAGCCATGAGCTCCCATTTGCTTCCGTCTCCTGCTGTCTCCTCATGCTGACCTCCTCCACCCACCATATTATTGCTTCCCATTTCACTGACATCCATTGGAGCGGAGACCTCACAGATTTTCCCAGCATCCCTACACCTAGAACCATCTGCACATGCTCTTCTTTCTGTGGTTGACACAGTAAATCTTCTGTGTTCCCACCTGTCTGTACACCAGATCGTTCTCTACAAGTCTGCGAGCAAGGACTTTGCCCCAGTCACAGTTGTATCCTAAATGATGGGCGTAAGACCTTGTCTTCATTGCTTAACACTTGATAAGCTGAGTGTCGTTCAGTAGGAGTGAAGTCACCGTGTTCTGAAGCAGCAAGTTGTTTGGGAATGTTCTTACACTTGAATGGTCTTAGTGTTCTAAACTGAAACTTGTGAGACACTGCGAATCTCTGATGTGTGCCCATGTATGTATGTATGTATGTGTGCATGTATGTATATATGTTCGTATGCATGTATGTGTGTATGTGTGGGTGCAGGCACATATGCACAATGGCACACATGTAGAGGGCAGAGAGCAACCTTGGGTGCTCGTCCTTGCTTCCGCCTTGTTTGGGCTATGGTCTCTGTAATTGTTTGTCACTGTGTATGCCAGGCTAGCCGGCTCCTGCGCTTCTTGAGATTCCTGGTCATTGCTTAGCCTGTGGCCACAAGAACACGTGATTAAAAGATCTAGGTAGGAAGGAGGATTATTGGTTATATGTGCTAGCCTTGCACTCCACGGGTCTGTCTTCTCTGACCTGAACTATCTTTGATCCAGGGTTTATGAGGCAGAAACCACAGCCCCTCGTGCTTCAGCAGTGCCTCTCAGAGGTTAGTGGGCTGCAGGGTTACCCGTAAGCCTTGCTAAAGCAGAACTTTAGCTCTCACCCTCTGACTGCAGGCAGCCAGTTAGTGAAAAGAAGACCCCAGAATGCCTGCCATTTTCATTTTCTCTCCTCCATGCCCTGATGTCAGATATGATACCAAATGGTGAGTGATCGCTCAAACACACAACTCTGCCATGTGATTTTCAGAGTGGCCTTCATTGCTTCAGACACGAGGTTCTCAGGCCTCACTCCAGAGCTATGAAATCTGACACTCAGGAGCCACCATTAACACTATGGCCCTGATCACACAAAGGGTCTGCCACAGTGACCTTAACCAAGACATTTCCACTCACCAAGCCTCAGTTTCCCTATCTGTCAAAGGGAGCCTGTGAGATTGAATGACTTTGTAGATCCTTGGCTCTCGAAGTTAGCCTGCATCAGAACCACATGGGCGCTTGAAAACCAATATCTGCACACCCCTTGTGGAGCCAGGGAGGGGTTAATACCAGGCTTTCCGAAGCACAGCTGAACAGAGTGAGACTAAACAGTACTTGTCCAGGTCTGTGGTGTAAATAAATGCTCTGACCATGGCCAAGTTCAAGCTAAGAATGTGAAATCCTGGCAGGAGGTTAAACCATGTGGAGGGGGAGGGAAGGATGGGGCAGAAAGGGAGAGAGGAAAGGAGGGAGAGAGTGGAAAGAGGAAGGGAAGGAGTGGGGGGGGGAGAGAGGAGAGAGAGTGGGCACACGCAGAAAGATTGAAAACCCATTAGCACCAGGATCACCTATAACAAAGTAGTCTAGGAGAGGGGATGTCCACGAGAAGGCATATCAAAACAGACCTGGCCACCGGGTTCTCCTAGCACCCTTCAGCCCCTGCCTGTTACAGGATCCTTCTGGCCCACCCACCCCAAACTCTCCAGTCTGGGGGGCTGGGCTACTCTTCCCTATACAGTCCAGACATGTTGGTTACCTGCCCCCTTTATTCTGCTGCTCTCTGAGCTGCTGCACCTGGTTCCCCTCTCTCTTTTCTTCCTTTAGCCCCAGCCCACATGGCCCAGCCCAGTGGGAGTCGTAGAAACTCAGGACGCTCCGGTATGTCCCTGCCTCTTAATACGTGTTCCTTTTTATCTGCAGTAAACCTTCTCCTCTTCCACCCCCTAAGAGCAGTTATGTCCCTTCCTGTTTATTTCTGTTGTCATTCACTAGTTTCAGAATTGTAACACTGGGGATGGAGACTTCAGAGGATCTTCTCATCTCTCCATTCTAATTAAAGGACAGGAGGGTTAGTGACCTGGTCAAGGGACCACCTCTCAGGAAGGTGGGGTCACTTCAGGCCAGGCTGAAGAGATAGGAGGAATAATTATTCTTTTAATGAGATAGTATATTTTCCTTCCCAGGATTCCTGTCTCCCAACACGGTCTCCACAGCATAGCCATGATGCTTGGCTGGTCTGTCCACCTTTCTGAATAAACCTTTAAGTTTTTCTATCTCTTTGTTTCAGATGTTGGCCGGAACCTAAGTATGCCTTTTCTGATACTCTGGGTTTCCTTAGTCTTTCTCTAATGCCTTCTCCCAACATGGCTGCCTGGGGCTGGGTGGCAGACTCCATGCAAATGGCTGGCTCTTTTCCTTCTCTCTTGCATTCCTCTCTGAGAAGCTGATGAGGTTTACAGACTGTTTGTTTGTTTCTCTTCTTCTTTCTTTTAAACTGTAGAAAGAAAAAAAAATGTCCCAAGCTTCTATTGAGTTCATTTTTAAATTCTTTTTATTAATGAGATTAGGAATTCCAAGAAGGGACCAGATTTCCTTGGTATCAATGTGCCCATTCTAGCCTGTCTGGGACTCTCTGTCCAAATGCATGTCTCCCTGTCCTCCGTGGGTATCTGTCCCTCCTGGATGCTAAGAAGCATCTTTCTCTCTCTGTGTATGTGTGTGTCTCAGGGATACAGGAGAGATTCAGGACAGGATATTGCAACCAAGTAACAGGACCCTGTTCCATTTCTTCTCAATGTGGGCCAAGCTGTCAGCTCAGCTGCCGCCGCCACCATAACCTTCTAACTACTGCCAGTAATGAAAGTCTTGTCTGGACCAGGCTATTTCAGTGCAGGGGCCTCATCTTGACAACCTCTGTGCTGATGGAAGACAGGGTTGAAGACAGGATTCCGTCATGAGGTGTGCTGAAACAGAGGCCAGTGGGGGGCCCGGGAAAATCAAACAACAGTCATTGGGGTGACACAGAAGCTGGCAAGGTGGCTGGGTAAGAGAAAGGGCTAACTGCCCTCAAAACTGGATTCTCGGAGTAGGAGTTAGGTTGGAGATTTAGATTGGACCTGAGCTGACCCCTGACTTTCTCTTATTCTTGAAGGCAGTGGATCTTAAGTATATTCTCCAAATGAATTCCTTAGAAATGTCAATTACTGGGCGGAGTCTGCCGTTCCTAGAGCCATCGCCTGCATTTCTGCACTTCCTGATCTGATTGTGGGGGTGTTGTGTTTTGAATGTGAAAGGTTTCATGGATACTTGGCCTCCAGCTGGTGTCATTGTTCTGGAAGATTGTGGAACTTTTAGGGCGCCTCACTGGAAGAAGATTACAAGTGGTGGGCCTGTCCGCTTTCTTCTCTATGAAGATGTGAGGCGATGAAGAACGCCAACTGCACACTGCTGGCACCATGGACCAGCTTCTTCCGTGCTGCAAGCTCCCTCCACAGTGAACAAGAATCCTCTAGCAAGCCTTCTGTACCACGCTAAGTTGCATCCCTTCACACTAGGCGCCCAAATGACCCTTTGTCCCTTCAGATGCTTGTTTAGATCTTTGATTGGTGTAACTAGACAGACGATACTGAGGATTACAAAGCCCTCTCTCCAGGCTGCCATACAAAGCCATCCTCAGGCCGATCTGGCCGTGTTCTTTTTAAAAATTAATTTTAAGATATATTTTATATGTATGAGTGCTTTTATTTATTAATTTATTTTTTAAAATTTTATTTATCTATTTTTTTAAGATTTATTTTATGTATACTGTGCTCTATCTGCATATACACTTGCAGGCCAGAAGAGGGCACCAGATCCCATTACAGATGGCTGTAAGCCACCATGTGGTTGCTGGGAATTGAACTCAGGACCTCTGGAAGAACATCCAGTGCTGAGCCATCTCACCAGCTTCCCCCCCAACCCCCGGGCATGTTCTTTTAGTAGGGCTTGGGAGGATGCTCATCTCTTGCCCAGCTTGTAGATGCTACTAGTGTGGCAGGGAACCTTCTGGCAATGCCTGAGGTCCTGAGCAGCTGAACACCACTGATCTTGCCTTCTTTCTGTAGATGTCTTCTCAGTCATTCAGGCGTAGGACTTCTCAGGTTGCTGGTGTCATTGCTGAGCCGCCGCTCCTTTCGGCCATCTCTTTGAAGCATGGCTTTGTTTGAAATGATGTTAATATGCTCCACTGCCATGCTAAGAATGCCCATGGGCTTCCTCCAGCCTTGTCTAGGTCTGGAGAGCAGAACTCACGCTGTGGGGGTGGGAAACTCTTTAAGCAGCCCGTGGGCAGTACTCACTCAGATTCTTCGAGGGCTCATTGGCATGTGCTCTGTGACTGAATCAAAAAGATGTGGTAGTGCTGAACCTTCTCTCAGAGACCAAGAATCTGGGCTCAGATGGAGCCTGGGGGTAACTATGGCCCTGGTTGAGTGGATTGTAAGCCTTAAGCCTTTCATCCATTTGGGTGTGAACCTGTGCTTCTAGAAGAAACATGATAGCAATATGTGAGACTGGTGGATGGAGCCTAGACCCTTTGAGAGGAAGGGACCTGCTGTCAGGCTGGAGTGGACATCTGCCTGCTGCAGCAATCCCAGATTCCTAATTGGTTAAGTGCCGTAAGCTATTTGTAATTATACCTAGAGTGTGTGAGTCTGTCTCCTTACCGTGTGTCTGCTGTGCACCTCTGTGGGCTCCCTTGAACATCTCTGTGCCTCTCTTTTAGTTACTCTCCTTGTCATTGTCACCACAAACCCCAACACGAAGCACCTCAAGGGGAGAGATACTTGTTTTGCCTCATGATTTGAGGGCACAGTCTACCATGGTGAGGAAGGCGTTGAGGAGCAAGGGAGGCCAGGATTCCCTATAGACCAGGAAGCAGAGGGCCAGAGCACTTAAACTGCTAAATGAGGGGCTGGACTCTAGCCCTTAGGTCTTGTCCCCCAATAACCTACCACGTACAGCTCCACAGCCTCCCAAGACAGCACCAAGCCGGAGACACAAGACCCTGTGGGTGAAATTTCACATCCATGCCACAACACCCTTTATATCACTAACTGTGAGGCCTCCTGTAGTCCCTGTCTGTGTAGTGGGAGTGACATCTGCTGAAAGTTACTACAGTTGCCAAACGCGTGAACAGTGAACATGCGTCTCTGTGCACAGTTTCTGGTGTTCGTGTGTGGGACGGATTACCAGAGGCCTCACACGAGCGACCTGATTCCCTGCCTCAGTTTCTTTGCATGTAGAATGGGGATGATACTGAACTTAGTGCTGGTAGGAGGCTTAGAGAGGCGAAAGCCCCAAGTAAGGTGTATAACCTTAGTAACTGGTCTTTTACACTCCTTCAATGTGTGGAGAGGATTGCTTTTGTGACCGTCTCTGTCTGCGTGTTTGTGAACATTTGTATGTGTTTATATAGCCAGGCAGATCCCCTTCTCCCTGGGTGGGGTTTACTGTTGGCTCTTGCCCGGGTCCCCTGAGCCAGCTAGAGCCTGCAAAGGGGATGGAATTTCCATTAAGAATTAAGCAGGCCAGCGCTGTGGAAGCCAAGCAAGCAGAGGGGAGGGGGCACAAGGGAGGGTATTTTAACTCTGAGCTCCGGAGGCAGCCTTGGTCCTGATTAGCCTTGAAGGTCTCATCAGTCATGGCCCAGAAGGATGGGTGGAGAGAACGGAGCTGCTCTCAGGGGCCTCTGTAAGGATACCTGAATCACTACAGTTCAGACTGTAACCATGAGGCGGCCCCCAGGGGATGGCGAATCCACTCAAGAGGGTCCAGGCAACTGGGGCTTATGGGGAGCCCAGGAGTCCAGAAGGCTGTGCTGTGTTGTAGGTATCTGTATTTGAATGCATACATTGACTTGTTTACATATATGCATTTGTGTACATACATGTGTGTTCATGCATGTGTGTCTATGTAGGTATACACATGTGTGTATGTATTATGTGTGCCTGTGTGTACACTTTTGTGTATTCCTGTATACATTTACACATGTGTTTGTACATTATATATATGTATGTGTATTTGTGGGTGTTTGTATTTGTGCATATGTGGGTGTTTGGGTGTCTCTGTCTTTGTGTATATATATGTATGTTTTTGTTTGTGTGTGTTTATGGGTCTGCATGTGTATATACATACGTGCATATGTATCTTTGTGTATATATGTGTGTATGTAAGTGTTTGTGTCTGTATGTGTGTGGTGTGTGCATATATGTATATGTGCTTATGTGTGTGTATATGGTGTGCATGTGTATATATTAGGTTGAAGTTTTAACCACAAGTTCCTAAAGAGTACATATAGCAAACTAAGTGATTCTTCTTACTCTCAAGTATAGGTACAAGATTGGACTCAGAATAGAAGCCTTCTGAGGCCTCTTGCTAACAGGGATGCTGTTTAAGATCTAAGCCTCACTTCTGACATGCTATAAACCATCTTAGCCTTCCTGGTCACTTCACAGCCCTGAACTTTCAGACTTTTCAAGCCTAATGAGCAGGAAGATCTGATTATGATTCATATATATATATATATATATATATATATATATATATATATATATAATCAGAGCAGTTGGATGCCGTGACTAAGATACAGCTAGGGAGTGGTAGAGGGCGGACAGAGTCCCGGTTATCTGCTTACACTTTAACCCACTGGGGGTACATGGGGAGATTCTACAGACTTCCCACCTGAGGACGGTGTAATGTAATATCCACCCAGTCAATGTCCCCTAGAGGTTCCGGTTCTGCTTGAGGGAAGGAAGCAGACCCAAGGGGCAAAGTCCTGCTGCCTGGATGGAAGCAGGCTGGGGTTGACACTGGCTTGTCCTGGCAGTGGCTGGGCCACCTGCATAGTCCTAAGTCCCCAAAGAGACAAGGTTGGTGATTTGATATCAAAGTAGTGGTATGCCCAAGGCCAGGCACCAGCTGTGCCAGCCAGAGCTTGAAACAAGGAATAGGAGTGTTTAGCATTAAGGCAGGGATCCGGGACACAGGATCATAAAAGTGGTGCTTAACCTGCTCTCCCCGAAGATATAATATGTGCAAACCTGCAAGCCTCCTACCATGGGCCCAGGTGGTGGACAAATGTCTCTTCTTGGCAATCTATGAAGTAGAAGCTCCTCAGGCCCTGGAGTTTCTTACCAGGGTGGAAGGTAATGGATGGAATAAACTAGAAGCTTCCTTTCAGTCTGAAAATGTAGCATTCCAGAGCTTTTGGGCCTGTACCAGACTTCTGTGGACTTAGCCATCTGACATGGAGCCCGGGGGTGAGGGTAAGGTAGGGAAGCATCTCATCAACACCCCCTGTCATTTTTGGCAGGTTTGTCATGTGGAGGGTGACTTAAGTGGGTAACTGAGTTTCCAAAGGGAAGCACCTGCAGTGGACAAACTCAGTCGCATTCCTGGCGTTTGGGGCTGCTCAGCGGGGTTGTGCCTGCCCTCCTCAGGGATGTGAATTGCTCCCAAATCTCTCCTTGTTTTCTTTCAGTTCCAGGAAACTGATCATGGCAGCACAGTCCTTTCCCCTCTCCAGATGTTGGCATGCGGGACATATGTGGGCGCCCTCGCCTGGCCGGCTCTGGTGGCTCCGGGTGATGGCCCAGCCCAGGGGTGAGCCGGGTCTCTAATTAGACCCGACCGCGTCCCCATTCCAGAGCTCCCACAGATGACAGCGCGCGGTCTCCACTGTGGCCAGGGGCTCCAAAATAGCCCTCGCTCCCCGGCAGAGCCTCGCAGGCCACGGTGCTTGGCTCAGGACAAACGTTTGGAGGGGTGCGCACCGCTAGGGAAGAGCCTGAGATTGGGGGGTGGGGGCAGCAGACAGCCTCCGGCGGCGCCGGCCCCCGCGGGCACTTTGCGCCTGGCCACTGGAGTTTCAACTGCTGGGAGCTGCCACCCATCGCTGGCCCCTGCAAACACCCGCTTTCTGCCTTGTAAGCTCAGAGTAAGTAAAAAGAGGGATGGCTAGCTCCTGTGACTGGATTCGGGGGCTGGGGCTGGGGTTGCTGGCGTAATTGTGTCCCCTAGGAAAGCAGGTGTGACTGTGTCAGTGTGAGAGCTTTGAGTAGGAGCGGGTGTCAGTGGAAGGGAGTGTGTCTAGCACAGGATGCAAGCATGTGGAATTTTCTAGCATGTCCTCCCAAGTGTCTGTGTGAGTGTGTGTGTGTATGTGTGTGTGTGTGTGTTGGGCCTGGAGCATGCTCACAGGTGGCTGCTGTGTCCGTGGCACACAGGTGGGTCTAACATGTGCCTGTGGAAGTGAAGTGCTTCTGTACAGGGGACAGAGAGGTGTCTAGAGTGAGGGAACCTGCCAGTGAGGGTGATGGATGAGGGTGAGAGGCAACTCAGGAGGCAGAAGGTGAATAAGGAGCAATAGACACCTGAACTCACACTTTCTAGGGTGACCTGATTTGTCCCCAGCTGTTGTCCTCAAACTGGGTGACTTTCTCGTAGGTCAGGCAGCTTTGGTTTCTCAGGGCTTTGGCCCACACTGGAGCTTACAGCTCTCATTCGACATAAGAGCGAATGGAATTGTGATGGACCTTTCTCCATGGGGCCAGGATTGGAACTCCACTTGCATAACCAGGAGAAGAGGCAGGGGTTGGGAACGGGGGACAGGGGACAGTCATTCATGTACACTAAGTGCAGTCACACTGCACACAGACTGCACACCCATGGCAAATGGCGTGTCTGCAGCATGCATTCATGTTGTAAATGTGCAAGCAAAATCACACAGCCTTGAACTGACCCTGGCATCTGCCTCTAGCCCAGTTTGCTTCCTGTACCCTTCATTGGGAATCTATGAAAAATGGGTTCAGAAACCTGGCCTGCGTAGGTGAATACTTTGCATTGAGAGTTTTTTCTTCTGGGGATTAAGGCAGGAGGTGACATGACACCACTGGGTATCCCATCTCATCTGCGCTAGGGCTGTCCACGGAGCTGAGCCATGGAACAGCACCGTTTGGCCTTAAGGTCCAGGTTGGAAACACAGCAGTTGCTCCTTTAGAGGGGAGAAGGCCCGTCTTACCAGGTGAATGGGCTAGACGAGGATGTGCGTGAACCTTGGCACCTGTAGCTCGCCCCAGATTCAGGTTCATGATTTAGGTGCATCCTGCTGCAGGGGTGCAGCGAGACTGTGGGGCTGAGCTAGGCCTGGGGTGGTGAATGGGCCTGCACCCATTCTTTCTGTTCTTGGGTTTGAGTCCCTCTGCCTGCAGCTGCTGGGAAGACAGCCCTTTCCACACCCCTCCCTCTCCTTCAGCAGCTACATGGAGACCACTGGGAGACCAGTAACAGTGCCTGGAACACCGACTGCCCCCAAATGCCAGGGGCTGGTACTTACATTTACGGTGACTACTTCATTATGACTTCTAGAGTCCTTCTTCCCTGGCCATTCTCTTCTCCATAGGCTTCTGTCCTGTGTCCAGATTCAATGTGCTTCTTTGGTTGGGAAGTTAGGGAAGGTTTTGAGTTTGTGATTTGGCTAAACGCTGCCCTTTCAGTCTGCTGAGAGGATCCTGGCTTAACCATTTCCAGAGCGGTCCACTAGGGCCTGTCTTTCCTTTGGTCCAGTCCTAGATCCGACCCTGAGAGACGGATAAACAAAGGCTGGCTGTGGTTAGCTCAGCAGGCTTTCTGCAGAGAGAAGGCAGCATTTTCCCTTTCATGGTTCCCTTCTCACTCTGACGTCTAGGAACTCCCGGGACAGCCTACCGCTCCATTCTGCTAAGTTAGAAACAGTCATCAGTTGAGCTGGGGTTTCTACTTTAACAACAGCAGAGACTACATCTTTAGCTGTAAATTTTCTTACACTTTATAGAAGAAACGAGAATAAGTACAATGATAATAATATTAATAATAAAAGAATAACCACCAATCAATAATTCTGTTGGTCTTTGAAGATTGAAACCACATTATTTGGACATTCTCTCTCTCTTTCTCTTTTTCTTTTTTTTTTTTTAACATCCCCCTTTGGAGATCTGTCATCTAATTTTTAATCTATATGTCTCAGTTGTGACTTCTGTGCTTGAGCTCTGATTGGTAACCATGTCTTGGGGCTTTTCTTCCTAGTGGCTCGTGGAGATAATAGCTATCTCTGTGTTGGTTCAGACAATGGGGATTGTCTAGAATGAATTGGGGCATTGATCAACACCCCTGCTCTGAGGGCTTCAGCCCCTCTGTGTCTCAAAAGCCCTAGTGTCTGGGTGCCCAAAGGGGTTTGATTCTTGCCCTAAACCTGGCCATGGCCCCATGACTGCCCCTTCCTCATGTGACCCTGCCTTGCCTAGGGCTCTGCTGGGAGGTCTGTGTCTCTTGGGTCTGAGCCCTGCTTCCCTCCACTTGATTGAGGCCTTGTGGAGACAGAGGTTGGGATGAAGAATGTCAGAGTTCAGAGCATGCAGGGGCCCATGGAGGGTTATCTTGTCTCCTCCCCTCAGTCTGGAGGCCATAGGATGGTGTTCAGCCCCCATCCCTTTCTCTAGAAGGGGTCTCAAGTCTGTCAGATAGGCAGAAAACCATTTGTTACTGGTAGAGACCCAGAACAGGGTTCAAGCTATCACAAGGCTCGTGAAAGATTTAATTCCTTCTGGGAGATTATTTTCGTTGTAGTGGTTGCTGCGTTTGGGGAAAAATCCCACACCGGGGCTATGCTTGCACAGGGTAGAGGTTGAGGTACTTGGTGGTGACCTTTCCAGCCCCGTGTGGGCGTCTGCTACTCCACGAGTGACAAATCAACAAAGATGGTGGCCCCTGCCCATGCTCAAGGCTAACTGTGTGAGAAGCATTTGACCGCAGAAGGAGAAAGAGGAAATACCCTGGGACTGCTACTGGGTAAGGTTTAGTGGTTTTGCTCTTTTCGGGACGAATGTGACCTCGAAGAGGAGACTGTACCTCTGCCGAGTACTCATTCTGGTTGTGCTCTGTTGGCTTCCAGACACTGAAACTTGACCTGGTAAGCAAGCTTAAAACCAGCAAGAGAACCCGGTGTGGGATGCCAGAATGTGTGAGCGGGAAGTCCACTTACAATTTCCCACACTTAACATCTAGTAAAAGCCAGTTCTCTGTTATGAGCTCTTTAAATCTTTTGTTTCACGAAACCTCTAAGACCCCTTCTGAAATGGGCACTTGCAGTTTAGACGCAAGGGAACAGAGCTAGGTCCAATAAGCCCCAGGTCAGAGCCAGCCATACTTCTTTGCGTCCAGTGGACGGACGCTGGCCACTGAGAAGGACAGGCAACTCTCCCAATTATGGAAACCTGAAAGCAGGAAAACTGTCCCTTCGGGTAAAACTAGGGGAGTCGCTAAGGGCTTGTCACTGTCTGGAACTAGGAAGTGAATATTGCCAGCTTCGTGGCTGAGCGATATCCCTGGCCTTCCCAGCCTCAGATGGTGCTAGTCACTCCCTGGGACTTGGGACTTGGGACTTGGGAGTACAAAATGAGGGAAGGCCTCATGGGCCAGGTGAAGGTCTCCCAGCCAACCTCATGGGGTGGGTAACACTGGGCTTCTGTGGTTTTATTTTTCCCCAGAGCAATCTCTGTTGTTGGGATATAGACTCCACCAAAGCTCCAGGATCTTGTCAGTCCAAACTCCCCTCCTCCAGCTCTAAGTACCCCCAGTGCCAAGCTCTGGGGTGTCCCAGATCCCCTGAGGTTGTCTCTGGGCAGACAGGATTCTGCCAGGCGTGATGCAGTGTCTGTGGGCGTCAGCAGTTTGGCTGGGTAATTGTGTATGGTATTCAGTTTGCACTGGAGAGAGGGAAGGCTAGTCTTACAAACCAAACATCTCGGTTTGGAAAGCCTGGGAAGTGTGGCCTGTGGTCTGAGAGTGTGAGCTGCATTGTGAGCCTGTGTGCCCTGCTGGTTTCGAAGATGCCATTGTGGGACAGAATGTTTCATCTAGGTCATTCATCCTAATGGAGTCAGAGTTGTGCTGCACACACTGGCGATACGAGAGGAAAAGCCCCTAAGTTTTTCAGGCAGAAAGTAAGGTCCAATGCCTAATCTCAGTTTGCTGGCCTGTAAAATGGGTGTGACTTATTTCACTGGTGATGATAGAAGCAGGGGGTTATCAGAAACCTAGTATTTGTCATAGAAAGAGCAAACCCTGAAAGACAATCTCCCTGCTTCCTATCCCATCGTCTTCACGAAAGAACAGTAGACCACAAGAGAGGTGGGCACCAGATCTTAGCCTCTGAGAATGCTGTCTTATCTTACCTTCTCTGTTCCCTCTTCCTTCTGTGTAAAACGAGAGCCAAGCTCCTTTCCCTCAGCCCTCTGTGCATTTTGAGGACAGTGAAGAAGAACCCAGGGAGAAATCTAGAAGTCCAGTTAGTACTGAGTTGCAAATTCACGTCTGACATATTAATTGAACCCATTTCTTAGGACTCAGGCAAAGCATGCGGTAAAGGGACAGAGGAACACCCTAGTCCCCAAGTTAGCATCTGACCATGTGACAAGACACACACACACACTCACTCACACACACACACACACACACACACACACACACACACACACACACACACACAGAGGCCCGTCTGTTGCTAGATATGGTCCATTCAAGCCGGGTCCTCTCCAACCGTGCACATCAGAGAGGCCTTTCCAGAGATGGACACTTATGCTCTTCATCTTCAAAGGTAATAAATTCCAGAAAGTGAAGAGGACAGGCTTGCGCTCAGGAGCTAAACCAGCTCTCTCTCTCTCTCTCTCTCTCTCTCTGGTATATATATGTGTGTGTGTGTGTGTGTGTGTGTGTGTGTGTGTGTGTGTCTTCGCATGTATGTGCAGGCATGCATACACATCTGTGCCCACGGATGTCTTCCTCAAACTCTCTGCATCCTTTACGGAGTTGCTGATCCCAGAACTTACCCACGGGCTAGTCTAGCTTTGTAAGCTTGCCCTGGGGATCCTATCTCTGCCTCCTGAGCACTGATTACAAGTGGGCTGCTGTGTTTTCGTGTGGTACTGGAGGTCCATACCCTGGTCCTCACGTCTGCATGGCAAGCGCTTATCCACTGAGTCATCTCTCTAGACCCCACAAAGCTTTTCTTAGTGTGTGCTTTGGGGACTCTCACTGTGACTGGAGCCTGTGGTGTGGTTTAGTTGTGATTGGAATGAGACAGGAGACTCTGCAGAGGGCCTGGAAAGGGTCCTGGACCGTGATGCTATGCTCAGTTATCCAGATAGTTCTCACATATTTACAGGCAGGGCACTGGACATTTTCATGTCCAACGGGAGTTCACTTATTCATTCACTAGACGTTTATTAGCTGATTACTATTTTATGTCACTTTGAATTTTTTTGTTTTGGTTTTCAAGACAGTGTTTCTCTGTAGCTTTGTAGCCTGTCCTGGAACTAGTTCACCTGGAACTCACAGAAATCTGCCTGCCTCTGCCTCCTGAGTGCTGGGATTAAAGGCATACGCTGTCACTTTGAATTTTAATCCTATATTAAACTTAATTAAAATTTGCAAGACCAGATGAGAAATTTCTCTTTATCCAGTTTTCAGTTGATTGTCTGACATCTTTTTTAAACCATTCTGCTTTATGTTCTCTCCAATAACAAGAAAATACATCCTTCTTACGTATATATGAATTTTATTGCATGTATAACAACATCTCATGGTTATAAATACATTACCACAATTAATTATATTTTTATTAAGAGTGTGAATGCAAACCAATTTTTTATATTTCTGATCAATCTCAGAATGAATTAGAAACACACTCCCTCTTTATCCCTAAATCCTTCAGTGTGTGTCTAAAGAAGGGCAGTCTCCTGCCTCAGGGCAGGCTGTGCTGTGTTACTCACCTTTCTTGTAGCTGTGGCAGCCCTGACAAAAGCAGCCTAAGGAACAAAAGGGGTGCTTTTTTGGTCCATGATTTGAGGAGATGTAGCTTATTGGGATGGCGAAGATGTGAGTGTAATGGCAGAGGAAGTGGGGTGCTTGTACTCATCTGGCTTCCTACCCCCCCTTGTATTTGGGGTGGTGTGGCTTCATTATTCAGTTAAACCTCTTGGGAAACATCCTCACAGACATGCCCAGAAGTGTGTCTCCTGGCTGATTTCAGCTTCAGTCAAGCTGACAAAGATCATCTATTACAGCCCTGATAATCTGTGGCTTTACTGTCTTCCTTCTAACTCTTGTGTCTCCGTTGTCTCCTCTGCTTTATTTCTCTTGCACCCTTGTTTTGAACAGTGCAGGTGGCTATTGCATTAGGTGTCCTCCATGTTGGGTGTTTGGTGGTCTGCACAGCTGGAGTTAGTCTGCAGGATCTAGGCAGGGAACTGTGTTCTCTTGAGTTTTCGGTTCATCAAGCCCCTGACTGGTGATGGAGGCAGTCATTGCTCACTTCTGCTGATGTCTATCAGTTTTCCACAGTGAAACGGCTCTTTCCATCTAAGTTAACAAGTAACTTGTGGAGAGACATTTTGAGAATATAGACAGACTATATTTCTCATAAAGCTTATAGTGATGTATCAGTCATAATTTTAAATTCATTGTTCCTTTTATATTTATTTATTGTTATTCTCTTATAAGAAAGAGTACTCATTTTCTCCCTCCCTCTATTCCTCCCTTTCTTCCTTAATTTGGGGGGTCTCATAAATTTTTAATTCATCAGATGAATCAAGTGTTATGTTTATTTTAGTTCTGATAGTCACACGATCTCAGATTCAGTTAGTGGGAGGCTGTTGTAAACTGGCTTCTGTTTCTCTTCAATTAGTTTCCAT